GTTTTTTCGAAATTCAAGAAACATTTTGGATTTTTCGGCTATTGTATTCAAAAAATCTATTTTTTTTATTTTTGGGGGTCAAAATAAAAAAAATCGAAAAACCGAAATAGCAGTTTTGTAGCCCTCTTGATTCCACACCTTGTATTTATTAAACATTTTTCTGTATCTCTAAAGCTGTAGGCCTGACAGCTCTTCCCGCGAAACCTTTTTTTGGGTCGAAAATGGCAGAAATGACGTCACTCTGACGTCATTAGCGGCCAACCTATCATAGCCTTTGGAAAAAAAATTTTTGGTCACCATGTGCGCTAGCTACTCCCGGGAGGGTACTGAAAGTTTGGTGACGATCGGCGCAGCGGTTCTCGAGATATATCGAAAAAACCAAAGGGGGGCAAAAAATGCCCCCCCACCGCCTGGAAGGTTAAATAGCCACTCAAAAGGGTCACAGTGTCTTATTTGTTGTTAGAAAACACGTATCTGTCATGAACTGTATCTTATCATCTAAATTCCGTAATAATATAGAAAAACAGCATCAGCAGCGCCATCTATGTGTGGCGAAAAATATATTTTAAAGGCAGAACCCATTTTTTTTTCTATCGAAAGAAAACTGATCAAAAAACATTTTGTCTATAGACGAAAAGTACAATTTCGATGAGGAAAAGGTCGAGCCAGGTCTTTGAAAAATTGGTCACAAAATCAAAAAATTTGAAAATTTTTTGGAAAAAATTCGAGATAGCCAAAATCTTTTTTGATCAATTTTGAGTCCATCGGTATATATTTTTCATACCTAAAATATTTTTTCTTTGAGATATATGCCCTCAAAGATTGGTCTTTAGGGTGAACTCTCCAAAATGCCGGAGGCTATAACTCTGTGACCTTTTGTCGGAGAGGTCTAATATTGGCAGAACCGTCTCCAGCGTGTCAGATTACCCAATACACAAAGTTTCAGAATTTTTAAAAATATAAGGGTGTCATTTTTTAAAAAAAATTGGTCGTTTTGTCCTGGAATGCCCCAGCTCTTCCCGCGAAACCTTTTTTGGGTCGAAAATGGCAAAAATGACGTCACTCTGACGTCATTAGCGGCCAACCTATCATAGCCTTTGGAAAAAAGTTTTGGTCATCATGTGCGCTAGCTACTCCCGGGAGGGTACTGAAAGTTTGGTGACGATCGGCGCAGCGGTTCTCGAGATATATCGAAAAAACTAAAGGGGGGGGGGGGCAAAAAAATGCCCCCCACCGCCTGGAAGGTTAACACATGCAGATGAATTATCTGATGGAGACCTAACTGTGTACCGAGTTTCAATTCAATCGGCCCAACCGTTGTGCCGTCATTGAGGTTGCAATTTTGGGGGTTCTTAAAAAATGTCCAACTTTACCATGCGCCACGTGCGGTGGTTGGCAAGAACGCATGGTGGCCATCACACCACAGAACTTTTACGTCCAAGTGACATTCAGTAAAGAAGACCGCTTGTCAATCGGATGTCCCGTTCCTAAGATATTAGCTTTTGAAGAGCGTCCCCACGGCCGGCCGGCCGGCCGCTCATACTCAGGATTTTCCCTTAATTCAGTATGAACTCGCTCGCTCGCTGCGCTCGCTCGCTCGTGACCATTCACTCAACGTTGGCGCCGGAATTCCCGGCTTTGGACCCGACGAATCGATACGCCGCAAAAGTAGGTAAACAAAGCCGGGTTGACGAGATTCAACGTTCGGGTATGGTACGAAGGTATTTGGTTGTGTGTTGGCATCATTTTTTTGCCTTTTTCTTTAAATGTGGAACGGGCGTGAGGCTTATATTGAAAAAACAACGTTGTAGCTTGCCTTCGGAAATTGCGTGATGGATGTATGAAGTGCGCCATTCAAGGTGACAATTTCGCCGTCGGCCATCATGAAAATAGTGATGAAGGCTTTTCGCACGTACTATTTTAGACTCGCAAGCGACTCTGGAATCATTTATCGAAAGATCGTGTTTGAAGAATCCGGTAAGTCTGAAACCTGCACAGAACGACTTCTAAAATTCGAATTGTGCAATCTTATAAAAATGAAAAAGGTGATAGTTTCTTTTTAATTCAGTATGAACTCGCTCGCTCGCTCGTAATTAAATGAGCAGCTCTATTTAATGACCTGTTTGTAACCTGTTTTACTTTTGTTCTAGGTTTCAAAAGCGACTATGTATTCGTCATAATTAACGATAAAGTCAACGACTACAGTAATTACTTTCACAATTTAGCAAGGGTTGATGTGTCACCTTTGATGACTTTGTAGCCTAATAATGTCTAATAGAAGCAATAAAGCATATATTACTGCCGCGCCGGTCCCATTCCATTAAATAAGCCGACCACTGAGCCCGTGTCATTGCGGTGACAATTGACAAGAGCCCGGCGGCGGTCTTCACCACGGCTGACACCTCAGACAGCGACTTAAAAACAGCGACAGAAAAACAGCGACTCACTCAAAACAGCGACCGCGCTTAGAGCGACCTCTTAGAACAGTGGCTCACATGTTTGAGCGATTATTTAAAATTTTCAAAACGGCGATCCGTAATAGAACGACATCAGAGGAACAGCGGCTATTCCAGGCTACTCGTGATTGGAAAATTAAAAAATGATTTTTTCTCCCGAGGTTATAATTTTATGTAAAATGCACTCAACAATTTTGATAAAGATATTGGCGACATATTCCGTGGGAATAAATGCATTTTCATGTAGCATTTCCACACTCTGTCGATTTTTTCATCATTATTGTAAGCATTGCGAAGGCCCGGCACTGGCAAAGGTAAAGGCTTAATAATTGGGGGAAGTACCGTTAACATAGGTAAGTATCTTTATAGGTTTCTTCTTTCTTGTCAGGCAGCAGAACATATCCCTACACAAGCCACAGCTAAGAGCTATATAGTGCACATGCCACTTTGACTTTGACTTATAACATAACAATATATGTCACAAGAAAATGTCAATCCGAGAATGAATACGCCAATTTTTGCTTGTCCAATCCCCATTAGCCTAGAATAGTAGCTGTTCCTCTGAAGTCGTTTTGTTACGGATCGCCGTTTTAAATAATCGCTCAATCGTGTGGATCGCTGTTCTAGCTGTGGCTCAAAATGCGGTCGCTGTTTTGAGTGAATCGCTGTTTTTCTGTCGCTGTTTTTAAGTGTCTGTTTTCTGGACCACTGTTTGACACGGCACACTAGCTAGGAACGTCCCACGGGTCCCTCAGTTCGAGGTTGCGATCCACATACGGAGCCGCGCCCAGCGTCACATTCACGCTTTGGAGCGCCACATCGCCAAGAGTGTAGTGGATCGCCCATACACATGCACAGTGGCGCAGAGTATGCACGATATTAACCCGCGCCCCGTTGGGCTCTGCCGAGCAACGCGCCCTGTTGGGGGGGGAGGCAATTTGCCCCCCCCCCCCCCCACCTAAGATCTCGAGAACCACGCAACCTAGCGACAAACAGCAAACGGTGTTGGATAGCCCTATCAGGGAACTACCTTGTGACCCAATTTTATTGACCTAGGTCAAACCAATGACGTCACAGGTCAGGTCAAAGGTCGAATTTTCACCGTTTACAGACATTTCAAGAAATGCGTTGTAAAATCGAGTAAAATGCATTTCATTGAAAATCATCGATGGGGAAATGTTCTTCAAACACATATTTTGCTATTTGAGGTCACTGATACCAGGTCAGGTCACAGAGGTCAGGTCACTGGGGGGTCACAATATGAAAGTGTCGTGTGATACATGTTTTATGGTCCATTTTACATGACAAATGCGATTATGTGGGTCAGGTAGCCTTTGGGGCCAGCTTAGGTCACGTTTTTTCAAGGTCAGGTCAAGGTCAGGTCAAATAATGTCAAATTTCAAAGTTGACATTTTTGCATAAAATGGGTATCGATTCGATGCAGCTCGTCACGGGGAGTTCAATGGTGGTCTTTGTTTTGCCCTACATGGTCTAGAATCGCTAAAAATTGAGTTCAAAAATTTGACGTCATAATTTTTGAACAGTTTTTTTTCGCTATAACTTGGCCAAAAAAGGAGATATCGATCTGAAATTTGGTATGTATATTGAAGAGCGCAGGGACTATCACATAAGTTCCGTTTTTTGGAAATTCGGAAAAAAATTTGATTTCTTTTTAGTTTATCTAAAAAAATCTTTTTTTTTAATTTTTCGGGGTCAAAACTCCAAAATTTTGAAAATCCGAGATAGCAGTTTTGTAGCGCCGCTTTTTGTCTACTAGACCATATAAAGAACTTTGAAATTGCTTGGTAACTGTAGATTTGGTGAGCGTTTCAAGATTGCATGTTTTTTGCTCATTTTTGCTCGAACATGACCTCAGTTTGACCTCAATAACTCCTGACCTAAGGTGACCTAAGACTTGAAATTTGGTGTGAAGGTGTCAAATTGATGCCCGGGAAGGTACTGAAAATTTGGCGGCGCTGCGCGCCGCCGTTTTCTTGCTATTCAGTAAAAACCACAGAGGGGGGGGGGGGCAAATTGGCCCCTCCAACGGGGCGAGGGTTCATAACCCGGTTGAGCGTATCCTCAAAAGAAAACTACGAAGTAGGGACGAATTTTTCTTCAATAAATATTAGACCGTTCTGCTTCGTCTTTTGTAACACGGCATGGTAACTATCTACAACGTGAACTACATTAAAGTCATAATTGTATGCCGTGACTGAAGAAACCTGTTTGGTGAAATCCGTTCACAGAGCCAATCTATAAATAATGCAACTACTGTATAGTCATATGGTGGTTTATATCACCACGTTTAACACATCTACATATGTTACAGCATATTCTATTCGTCGTATCTGATTGCGCTGTTGTTATATATAAGGCTATAATACCGCTGAATGGCCGCACTGCTACGGCCCGCTTATCCTACCCGACCGTCTCCCGTATCTCCGTATTTGTAGCTGTTTATCTGTCCCCACACCCCAGTGCCGACACCTGTCTGTGTGTCTGCGGCCCTAGGCCGCTGCTGCGCACAGCGCCGCTACTGACCCGTGACCATGACGGAGCGCACGCTGGCCCTCTGCAGCGTCTCGATTACCGGCGTCGTCTGCGGCTTCAGGCTGTTCTGCATCACCAGCAGGCCCGTCAGCTCCATGTCACACTCCACCTGGTCGAAACACGAACGGTCAGAGCTGCGCAAACAACGCCCTCTTGCGCGCAGCGATCTCATGCTCTTATCGTATTTCCTTGTCCAGGCTTTATACCATTGTGGCTAAGAGCAAATGCTACGAATCGAGAACGGCCATTATACCATACATCAGGCTGGCTTTGAAATGGCCACCTGCATTGCCTGTTGAAAGCTACCGCCGCAGGTCTCATGATAAATGCATCTTCATTAGCAGACTGTATGATAAATGCATCTTCGTTAGCATACTGCACAAACTCCCGAAGCACATTTACCTTACTTGCGCGGCACTCACTAAATGGACCTCAGCAGGAGGAAACAAGGCCACCAAATATCTTAAAATCGAACATCGATTGGCTATTTGAATAGAAGACCGGCTAGAATAACGGGATACAGGACAGGCCTGACGGCAGGGGCGTGTTCAGTCGGCCAGCCGACACTGGCGCTGGGGCGCGGGCTGGGGCCGCGCGGCGTACCTGGTCGCGCTTTAGCCGCTGCGCCTGATGCCAGTGCAGCTTGGCGTCCAGCCGTCGATAGGCCAGCGCCAGCACACGGTACCCCTTCACCGTGTACTGGTGCAGCACCGTGTGGAAGTCGGCAGGAACTGGAAACCGGAGGGAGAGTCACTCCTCGTCACCACTCGGCAGCCAATAGCGCGCAAACAGACACGGCCAGCTTCACTGTTAAATAGATCAGCACTATCAGACATGTTTGCAAAAAGTATACCCATAGTGGAAATGACAGCGCGCTTTTCACCGCACCTCCCATCAGTAGTATGCCAATCAGTGGACGCCCCTTAATCAAAGTCACTAATCACTTAGCAATCTGACGCTGGAGACCCACGGCCCTTGGTTCACCTGAATCCGACCAGCAGATACTCATAACGACCCTGTCGACTCGGACCAGAAGACTCAAACTCACCCGAATCCTACCAGCCAACAAAAAAAAAAATCGGATCAGCAGAGACTCTGACTCATCTGACTCGGGCCGGCAGAGACTCTGACTCACCCGACTCGGGCCGGCACAGACCCTCGACCTTCTCGGGCGCGCCCTTGCAGTAGAGGTCCATGTGCCGGCGGCCCAGCGTCCGGCAGATGACGCTCATCCGCTGCGAGCTGCTGGAGAAGGGGAACTGGCGCACGATGCCCACCTCGGGCGGCATCTGGTCGAGCAGCAGCTCGTCGGGCGCCGGCTGGGGCGCCCCGGCGGCCAGCGCCCGCCGCGGGCGCACCACCGTCGGCGCCAGCAGGTCAAACTTGGTGGCGTCCGTCTCGACGGGCTCCTCCAGCTCCTGAGGAGCAGCGGAGACGGCTCGTCAGGACTCGGAGACGCGGCACGGCCCAGTCGAAAACCAGGCGCAGCCCAGTCAACAACACTTATCGCAATCCACTTCACGGTCAAAATCTAGCTCACAATCCGGTCCACGGCCACAATCCAGCTCACAGCCGGTCCATGTGGTATTGTAGCATGGCAGCGAGCAGCACGGTATTTTATAAAAGGAAGCAGCATTTAAATCACGGAGCCGGAAAGCGTTGAACTGAATAGCCGACGGTTACCAATGGGAGTACCGGGTTCGGCAATTACTGAAAACATCAAATGACGCACATCCGCGAGTCATGGATGCTCACAGCCCAGAATCATTCCAAACCGGCAGAGCAGAATAGCAGTCGTTCAGCCCAGCTACACACACCGGCACGCCTCACCGTGACAAAAGATCACGACTCAATACGGCTGTAAGAGCGCACGCTCGATGACCTTTTTAAAAGCGGAGGACAGCACGCCACGTGCGCTGGGTGTGGCGCCCTGTGCAAACACTTCCAGTAGGGAGTCACAAAGTGTCGGCGAAACGGATAACAGTGGCTGATGGCTGATGACATTGGCATTAAAACACTCGCACCTCGGCATTTATGCACGCCAGACAGTTTCGTAACATATTATTCAAGCAGCAAAGCAAAACCTCTGCCCGTATATACATAGCTGACCGTTTTGGGCAGTATGCTGCCATAAAACTCGACACCAAAGCGCCCAAATGTGTGCACACTGTAGACACTTTATGCGATGCGACATGTCGGTGCAGGCAATGACGGGGGTTAAAGTCGGCCCGTAAATCGATGATACAGCAGCTGCTGGTGAAGCAGCGCTGTGCACGGCGCCACTCGCACCGGGCCAGAACAGGAGGCAGGCTCAGCTGGCCCACATCAAAACTGAGGGGGGCGTATGGCTTAGGCCAGGGGTCGACAACTGGTGGGGCATGAGGGGTAACGGAACCTTTCGGCGGACGCATTCATGTATTTGAGGTAAAGTATCAGGTCAGGTCAGGTCAATAGTCAGGCGTCCCGCCGGCTATCCACAGCAAGTGCTTGCTACCGCTGACAGGTTTGTAACATGCTGCATGGGCACCAAAACTAGTTCTCCCATGTTCGAACGGGCGGTAAATTCGAAATTAGCTAAAAACAACACTAAAAGGTTGTGCAACTGATTAGATAGATAGATAGATAGATATAGATGTATTCGAACAAGATCCATTATAAAACAATGGCTTTTCACTAGTTCACGTGAGCCGATGCCATTTTAGGTCAATGATCTTGACCTGTCCATCAAGTTCCCTTGAATTAGAACTGATGGCAATCAGTCTATCAGTGTGGCTGTGACGAGCATGAAAGCCTTTTTTAACCCTCGCCCGCATTGGTGTTTTGCCAGCCGCGAACGTATAGGAAGGGGGGGGGGGGGGATCCGTTGTACACCTCCCCTTGCCTTTTCGCCCCTGATCGAGCTAGAGCTTCGCGGAAGAAAACGAGCGTGTTGCCCGTGTCGAGACGAAGTCGATGATACCCAACTTTAAGTTCCTAGGTCATTGGTTGACCTTCCAGGTCAGGTCAATGACCCAAAAATCGGAAAAATCGGGACCTGTTAGAAAGTCGTAATGTGTGGCTGCTATAGGGTTTTTCGGGGTGTTAATCACGACTATCGTGCTAGTTTTGATCACAAATGATGTCTTCATGCATTTAGGCCAGGTCAGGTCAGGTCAACCAGTTGGGATCCTGCCGGGTATTCCTTGTAGGTGTCAACCGCATCCGACAGCTTCGTAACATGTTACGTAGGCACCAAAACTACTTTGTAACTGTTCAAATGGTTGCTAAATTCAAATTCAGCTCCAAAAACTAGCTTAGAAACATGTAAAACTCGAAAAAGAGAACCGAGGTCATCAAAGGTCAACGACCTCACCTAACCTTCAGGTGAGCTTGACACCCACCCTAATGCATGGGACCATTATCATATCACATGTTTGAACGCTTAAACCATGAAAAGACTGCAAACGCGCGGCTAATGCGAGCCGATATACGCCGAATCGCGATTCAGGCCAAACATGGTCTCGAAAAATAGGTCACAGCACATGTGACCGCCGCATGTATGTATGCATGCATATTCGCCGGCTGTAGCCCGTCGCCGGCGAAGCAGACCGCCGGGACCGGCCGGGCGCGAGCGCGCCGGCCACCCGGGCCCGGCCTGACCGGGCCGGGCCGCCTGACCCTTCCGCCGCCGCCTGGGAGGGCCGAGTCCGGCCCCTGTTTTCGACGTCCCCGGCGTGGAATGCATTGTCCACGCCGGCGTCCCCGTCCCAGGTAGGCGCGCGGACCGGCCAGGTGCGGCTATTTTGGGACCGCTGCGGTCATGTTTTTCTTCTCCCTAGTTTCCGGATTCTTTCAGCTCCCCATCTGTGCTATTCTTCGTGTCCCCATTTCTCGAGCATATTTAAACTGATGTAAACATGTTTCTCGTCCTGTTCTGTTCTGGCCTCCGCAGCGTGCGGACGTGCCTCTGTCCTGTCGTAGCCGTCGCACCGTTCGTTGGACACCGCAATATAGAAATATTTCTTCAGTGCTGTGTCGGGAAGTGCAGAAGCAACGAGACACAGTGAGCAGCAGTGAGCGGGCGGAGTTAGAATCGGGCGTGTGCGGCGCGTGCGCAACTCTTCATTCTACACAAGTTACCTTACCTTCACTCCTCTACCTTTCCTGGTCTGCTGAATTGTGGGCCTCCTTGTCGCTTGAATTGTGACTTCTATCTCTACTCACTTAACCTTCCCATTTTACCCTTCCTGGTCTGCTGAATTGTGGGCCTCCTTGTCGCTTGAATTGTGACTTCTATCTCTCACCTGTGTCACGCTGAATTGCCGTGGCTCCTGGCTGCTGAATTGTGGCCATCCTTCATATCCGATCAATCTGCCTAAAACCCTTCGCCTACTTGTGTTGAATAGGGTGTGCACGAGTTTCATTTCACCCAAATGCCGTGGACCCGCCGGTCTGATTAGCTCCAGAAAGGAGTGTCTACAGTCCGCTCCGCCAGAGGAGAGTCGGGCGCCGCGCGGCGCGGCGTCCCGTCGTTCACAGGCCGGCGCGTGGCCGCGACATTTACTGGTCCTCCGGGCCGGATCCATCCGGCAACATGTCAACAACAGGAGAAACAGAACAGCGTCCTGCAGCAGACCTGGAAGAGAACGTCCTTAGAGAGGAGCGTCACGAAGCGGTGAGTGAAGAGTTGAAGGTGCTGCGCCGGAAAAGGGGACAAAAGTTGGCAGCCTTTTCGCGCGTGTGCCGCAGAGCCGAGTCCATCATCGCCGTTCGTGGGAGTCGCTCAAGTTTAGAAGGATTGCTCGAGACAGTCGATGCGGCATTGGAAGGCGTCATCACAGCGAATGATGCACTGGAAGCCTGCCTGTCGTCTGAAGCAGATAAGGCTGATGCAGAGAAGTACTGTGCCAAGGCAGAACGTGATAGAGAAGATATTGTCGAAAGAATCACCCAGCATCTAGCAGAGCGCAGAGATGAGCCGCCATCAGGCGCCGGCTCTGTCGTTTCTGTCGCTCAGAAGAGCCAGACGAGTGCCGTCTCAAGAGCATCTCAAGTCGAAGCAGAGGTTGCATCTAAGATTAAAGCACTACGCCTACAGCAGCTTAAGCGCAGGCAAGAAGAACAGCGACTGCAAGAAAGTCAAGAGGAGGAGAAACAGCGCCTCAGGGAAGAAGAACAGCGCCGTAGGCACGAAGAGGAACAGCGCCGCAGGCAAGAAGAACAGCGCCGCAGGCAAGAAGAGCAGCGCCAGGAGAGGGAAGCCGAGAGACGAAGACTGCTTCAAGATGCTGAAGATGAAGCTGAAGCAGCCCAGCTCGAAGCTGATCTGCGCAGAGAGCTCAACGATGACCTCCAACACGAAAGGAGGAACGATTTCGAAGATGAGTTGTTTGCAACAAAGGAAGCCGGAATCAGAAGTCATCAGCGAGAAGTACAGCTGTACTTTGAGAGGCCAGCTACCGCACCAAGCCATGAAATGGAGGAACGTCGTAAACAACCGGTCAAAGGTTCAGGATCTCACCAGATGAGGCACAACACGTCATGGATAGGAGAGCTGCGCAGTCTGCGTCAGACCCAGCGCGCAGAGAGCGTAGCTCCGTTTTCAGCCTTCGCGAAGAGTATCCCAAAACTGACCCTTCCGACCTTCAGTGGTAAGGCGTCAGAATGGCCGAGATGGAGCGGATTGTTCAAAGCGCTGGTGCACGATCAGCCGTCCCTTTCAGACACAGAAAAGATCGCCCACCTCCAGTCATCGGTGAGTGGACTAGCGCAGCAGACAATTTCTGGCATGTTATACGATGGAAGTCTGTACCACCAAGCGTTGAAAGCCCTCGAGGAGCGGTTTGGTCAAGATGACGATATCATCAAACACAACCTCAACAGCATCTTCAACGCCCCAGACCCGATGGAAGATGATGCAGAAGCGCTGGAAAGATTCCAAGCGACGGTACACTGCGCCGTGACTATCCTCCAGAGCATGGGGGCAGATGCTGACATTCACAGCAGTGATAGCCTGCATCGGACGGTGGAAAAACTACCTCGGGACCTGAGAAGAGAGTGGGGAAAGTTCTCGCTGGGACTGAAGCCGACCAGACCATCACTTCTAGACGTGGACTCGTGGCTGAAGACCCAAGTGAAGATCAGCAGAAGCTGTCCCAAGGGAAAAGGGGACGGCGAAGAAGTCGGCGCCAGGCAAAGAAAGGAACGCGCCGGTGAGACCGTCCAAAGACAAACCTTCTTCACAGCCGCGAATCCAAAGCACAAGCAGATGTGCTCGGCATGTGAAGGCCAGCACGATCTGCAGCAGTGTCAGATCTTCATCGGGAAGTCTCCTGATGCCAGGCTCAAACACGCATTCAGCCAGAGATTGTGCCTCCACTGCCTCAGGAAGGGCCATCGCGTGGTAGACTGCCGAAAGGCAAGGCGCTGTGAAAGGGATGGCTGCAAGTACCGACATCACGCCCTTCTCCACGGCAGTCGGCCAGTCAGGTCGCGACAACCTGATGACCCAGTGACAAAGCCTGATGCAGGCAACGATGGAGCAGACGCAGCAGCATCGGGGGCGGCGCATGTCCTCGACCCAGATCCGGCGCTACAGGTGATGTTTGTCCAGAGCAGAGTCAGCGCTGGAGAGCTCCTGTCCGAACAGAAAGGAGAATCGCGATCTACAGGAGCTTCCAGGACCAAGCACAGCCAGCCAGTGCCACAGTCTCCAACACGACTCCAACACGCCGCGGGACATGCGGCCGCTCGCCCGCGTGACCCAGGTGTTGCCGGGATCAGATGGATGAGTCCATTCTGTCCAGATCAAGGCGGCAGGACGATGCGAGGATAGATGGCCCGGCGTCAAGATTGAGGTGCTGGAAGTGAAGTGTGCAAATGCTGAGAACAGTAATGTAAATATGTGTATCGTGTTTCGTTCGCGCCAGCCGGTTAGAGAAAGCCGACGATTGCTCGCCCTCTCCAGACGCAGCCCAGTCGAGGCCGTCTACCAGCCGATACATCAGCGGCGGTACTGTGTTTTAGTGTTCTCGTGGAGTCGAACACGGGGGGCGGGATGTGACCGCCGCATGTATGTATGCATGCATATTCGCCGGCTGTAGCCCGTCGCCGGCGAAGCAGACCGCCGGGACCGGCCGGGCGCGAGCGCGCCGGCCACCCGGGCCCGGCCTGACCGGGCCGGGCCGCCTGACCCTTCCGCCGCCGCCTGGGAGGGCCGAGTCCGGCCCCTGTTTTCGACGTCCCCGGCGTGGAATGCATTGTCCACGCCGGCGTCCCCGTCCCAGGTAGGCGCGCGGACCGGCCAGGTGCGGCTATTTTGGGACCGCTGCGGTCATGTTTTTCTTCTCCCTAGTTTCCGGATTCTTTCAGCTCCCCATCTGTGCTATTCTTCGTGTCCCCATTTCTCGAGCATATTTAAACTGATGTAAACATGTTTCTCGTCCTGTTCTGTTCTGGCCTCCGCAGCGTGCGGACGTGCCTCTGTCCTGTCGTAGCCGTCGCACCGTTCGTTGGACACCGCAATATAGAAATATTTCTTCAGTGCTGTGTCGGGAAGTGCAGAAGCAACGAGACACAGTGAGCAGCAGTGAGCGGGCGGAGTTAGAATCGGGCGTGTGCGGCGCGTGCGCAACTCTTCATTCTACACAAGTTACCTTACCTTCACTCCTCTACCTTTCCTGGTCTGCTGAATTGTGGGCCTCCTTGTCGCTTGAATTGTGACTTCTATCTCTATTCACTTAACCTTCCCATTTTACCCTTCCTGGTCTGCTGAATTGTGGGCCTCCTTGTCGCTTGAATTGTGACTTCTATCTCTCACCTGTGTCACGCTGAATTGCCGTGGCTCCTGGCTGCTGAATTGTGGCCATCCTTCATATCCGATCAATCTGCCTAAAACCCTTCGCCTACTTGTGTTGAATAAGGTGTGCACGAGTTTCATTTCACCCAAATGCCGTGGACCCGCCGGTCTGATTAGCTCCAGAAAGGAGTGTCTACAGTCCGCTCCGCCAGAGGAGAGTCGGGCGCCGCGCGGCGCGGCGTCCCGTCGTTCACAGGCCGGCGCGTGGCCGCGACAGCACAGGTCAAAGGTCATTTGGGTCAGGGTCATGCAATTTTCAGAGTGGGTGTAAATTTGATCGACTAGAGGGTACTTCAAGTTTTGTCGTGATCGTCCCCTTTTTACGCGAGGTATTCGCGAAAAACCGAGAGGGAATCCGTTCGGTCCCCCTATACGGGCGAGGGTTAATGTTAGATCACTTGACGTGATCCGGTGACCTGAACTTAAAGGGACCCTCCCACCTTCAAAAAAGTTAATGAATTGGCATGAAAGTAATGTCGCTCGATTCAGAAAGAGCCAAAACGAATATCTGCCAAATTTCATCGAAAAATATTCACCGGTTTTCAAGATATTAGACTTGTACCTACTTTTGTTTACATTTTGGGATCTCCGCTGTTCCTAGCGACTTTATTTGAAAGTGCGGGCCTTGTTGCGCGCAAAGCAGCATATACCACCGCGTGTTCCAAACGTTAAGTAAAAGATTTAAAATCGTTAGATCTGCGCTGACGTCACACATTCAGAGGGGGCATCCTAATGCATTAGCCCCTCTGAACCCATGTGCTGCAACTTTGAAATTAGATATTTTCGATTTGAGGCATTTCTCGATCTTGTGAGTGCTCAAACCGGTAAGTGCAAGCCAGGGACCCCATTTTGGCTATCTCAACTCAAAACTAATGTTAAGGTGGGATGGTCACTTTAAACGATTAGGTCTGAAGTTTTCACATGTGCGAAAAGATGCATCAAAAGGTTTGCCAAAAACGGCGGAGGATATATTTGCGAAAACCGCAATGGGATCTTCAAACACTTTATCTAGCTCCCTCTTCCCTCCCCTTCCCCAGCCTGGCGCGGGATAACCTAAAAATGTCAACTCATTAACGCCTATTCACTGAAGCACTGAAATTAACAGGCACTGAAGGACTAACAATAGGATTGGACCAAAATTATATTCGATGCTGGTAAGATGGTTATGTCCAGCCGCAGCCACCCCCTTACGTAGACAAGGCAAATTGCCATTCCCGAAGTGGAATGATAACCTGAACACAAGCTTTGGCAAAATGGGTTAGGAATAAATCACCTGAACGAATCACCGGATCCCGATCAGGATTTCCAGGGCTAGATGGATTTCCTCAGCAACAGGAAGTGGGAATAAACCAATCCCAACGGGATCAAGCAAAACTGATGAATTTGTGCGAGCTGAGTTATCCCACTCATAAGGGACCAAAAAATGGTGTTGGTCATTTGGACCACTGTCCGTTTTAATGGAATGGCGAGGTCGGTCGTTTGTGGCCCGCGGACCTGCGCTCCAGCGTACGAGAGGTGGCTGGCTCAGCATCCCACCGCTGCTTCCCAAGGTCGTCATCTGAGCAGCTCTCGGCGGCGCTGCTCTGGGCGGCCGTTCACCTCTCCTCGGGGCGGCGCGGCGCGGCGCTGCCGGCTAATGGGAAGCGCAGCGAGCGGCGGGCGGCGGGCGGCACGGCGGCGGGAGGCGAGCGGCGTGCAGTGTCGGGCGGCACGGCGGCGGCGGAGCACAGTGCGTGCCGAACAGTGACAGCGACGAGCCGAGAACCGTGGCTGGAGGGTTCTGTCAGAACTATAGCAACTCAAGTGACCAGGACTAGACTGAGTGCTACTTCAACCAGTCGTCGGCTGTTCAAAGCCGGGCCCGCAGCGGCCCAGGTGAGCCGAATGAGCGCGGTCCTTCATCCCTCTCAGAGTCTCCAGGGTCCTTGGCATTTTCATAAAATTACCCTCCAACTCACTAAATGCCATTTGCTTCAGGTTCGGCCGGCTAAAAAGGATCTTCTTGGCATGCCCCGTCATGGGTGAATAAGCAACGCCAACAGAAACATCTGTGTATCTTATTTGTTCGACTTTTCGACATTTCGTACATGCTACGAAAGTGCGCAAACTTTCTGAATGGGAAACCCTCAATGGAAATCAAGCTTTAATAGAAGGATGGAATGAACACTAGTACAAACCCACCTGACCGTAACTATTGTATGACACAGCTTGACAAGCATAAAATACATCTAGGTAGAAATATAACTAACCAAATACATGAAGTTGACCTTTTCCTGACATTAAAAATGTACAAACGGAATAGGTAGTATACCCATTACGAAAAGCGGTGGCTTTTCGGTCACTGGCCTTTATCCAACAATCGTGGTAGTGAGTAATATTCAAAAACGATCCCATTTCGACAGGATCCAGTTGGAGCAGTCCTTCTTGAACAGGATCCTTTTTGAACATTGCTAGCAATAATGTTTTTTTCGAGTTTTATTCACACAACGTTCACACACTGAGAAAACATCAGCGACACTATTAAAAAATGACGTATAATGAGAATACGGCCCGCCCGTCTGGGCGGGCCGGGACGACACTATCAGGCCATTGCCGCCCCAGCCCCAGGGAGAGCCAATATGAGACACTTCCCCGGCCGGGGAGAGGTGTAGGATACCGTCCCCCCCCCCCCCCCGGCGCTCCAGACGGGCCGCCCGCCCCCGCCCGCGCTGCCCTGCTTAATAATGGCGTATGGATATAAAATCGCATAGGCACACACTCGCAGGGGCAGCGCCCCTATCACGCCGACCGCCCGAGCGGGACGCCATCGCGCAGTCCGGCGCCCCGGCCGAGCGGCCGGCGGACCGACCCTGAACAGCGTGCTAGGGCCGCTGTGCAGGGCCGGTCACGGGTTAGCCCGGATGGGTTAGGGACGGGGGCATCACAATGCACAATCCATCACCAATGCCGATCAGTCAGCTGCGGATGTTCCGGGAGCACATTGTGCTCACACGGAGGCTGACGTACAGTCTGTCTTAAAAGTACTGCGCAAAGTGACGGTGGATCCGTCAAGCCTGACCGAGGGAGGGCCTGCTAACCTTGAGTCACCGAAGCAATTGACATTCTCGTCCATTCCCCAGGTCAATAAGTTCGGTGACTTTCAAATTAAAGCAGGCCCTTCCTCGGTAAGGCTTGATGGATCCAACGTCACTTTGCGCGGTACTTTTAAGACAGACTGTACACCATAACCATACACATACAGCGACGTACACAAATACCTAACAATCCACGTTCGGAGCTGCTACTGGTGGCGGTGCTCCATCTCCACAGTGTCACGGAACGACAGTCCGAGAGGGGCCCACTTTCTATCGTGCTCATTGTTCTTATTATTAATTTTGGCATTATACTTCTCACTGTCCTTGTCTGCTTTCAGGATTGCAATTAAAGCCGAAATTGATGGTACTCTTTTTGAACAAATGATGTGCACTGCAGCACTTACACAGTGATTTGCCAATGCATCATCCGTTATTCCCAAAATTACCTTTTGTAATGCGATTTTATCAGCTAGAAAACCAAGTTGCTTGCCTCTAAACCACGCTTTCAACTCAGTCCATAGGCCTTTGGCTCTCGGACAGAACCAGACTCTGTGTTGAATGTCATCTAGTTGCCCACAATATTCACATTCATCTGACTTCCTGATGTTCATCATTTTTAACAAGTTGTTTGTCGCTAGTATACGAGTAATTATTTTATATTTCGTACTTCAGTACTGCATTGGGGTTTCTTTTAATGTTAAATAAATGTCACTCCAATTTAACCCTCGCCGGACCTATTGGTTTTCTACATACGCGGCGGCCGAGGGGGGGGGGCGGGTACGACCCCCCTCGCCGTTTCGGCCCTGGTGGAGCTAGCGCGTCGCGGAAAAAACGAGCGTGTGCGCAGTTACGAGACGCAGAGATTGGTACCCGATTTTAAGGTACTAGGTCAACCGGTGACCTCTGAGGTCAGGTCAAGTGCCCCAAGGTACGGTTCAGTTTTTGGTGAATAACTTAACAAACTTAAACGGAATAAGCAAAAAACGGCCGCAGAGCGCCGATTTTGGCAGTATCGTGTTCGCCTCGCTCAGGCGCGTCGAATGATTTACTTTTTGTCCGGGTCAGGTCAACTTGGGGTGTTGACCTCAGCTCAAGGTCAGGTCAGCACCCCCAGGTCACGAAGTTGGTCAAAAGAGGTCATGTCGCATATCATTCGATTCGGCAGGCCTTCCTGAGTCCATTGGTGGCTTTCCCGACTCGCTAGCTCAATTTGATCAAGAGTTATTGACGAAAAACTAATATGACCTTGATGACGTCATATATGACGTCAGCAAGGTCAACATTGCAAAAGTGACGCATCTAACCTTGCAAGGAGTGCATCAAATCACGATTCTGTGTGCTTCAGATAGTTGGAGATCGTTCCCGGCGCCAGAATAGCAGTTTTCATTTTTCCCCATTGACATAATGGTGAGGTCACGAAAATGACCTGACCTCATATGACCTTTAGGAAAAATCCGAGATATACAAGTTGTGGGACTCATAATGGATACTAGATCCTGCAAGTTTCATTTCCCTGTGACATCTCCTCTGGCAGTGAGGGCGTTGCGAAGTTGCGACATCTGAAGACCGTGCAGAGGTTCACTTATGACGTCACAGGTCAGTGACCTGACCTGACCCAAAAATGCGGTTGGTGTCAAAAGATCCGGCTTGGATCAAAGGTCAGGTTTGCCAAGTTTCAGCTCTCTATCGCCAGCGTGTTCGGAGCTATCGCGAAAAAACCCTATGGGGGGGCGGCACCCGCCCCCCCCCCTCGGCCGGCGAAGGTTAAGGCAGGGAACTCGCTTTCCCATTTCGCCTCCCATTTGTTGTTTTGGCATTCAGTTTTCTTTCTTACTAGGACATTGTACGCATTAAAGGGACCCTCCCACCTTCAAAGAAGTTAATGAATTGGCATGAAAGTGATGTCGCTCGGTTCAGAAAGAGCAAAAACGAATATCTACCAAATTTCATCGAAAAATATTCACCGGTTTTCAAGATATTAGACTTTTACTTTTGTTTACTTTTTGGGATCTCCGCTGTTCCTAGCGACTTTATTTGAAAGTGCGGCATTTGTTGCGCGCAAAGCAGCATATACCACCGCGTGCTACAAAACGTTTTAGTCAAACATTTAAAAATCGTTAGATATCTGCGCTGACGTCACACATTCAGAGGGGTATTCCTATGCATTAGCCCCTCTGAATCAAAATGCTACAATTTTGAAATTCAATATTTCCGATTTAAGGCATTTCTCGATGTTGTGAGTGCCGAAACCGGTAATTGTGAGCCAGGGACCCCATTTTGGCTATCTCAACTCAAATCTAATGTTAAGGTGGGAGGGTCCCTTTAATGACTCGAGTTTCTGGGCTTAAAATAAAGCCAATGACAGGATCAACAATTGGTTGTTCCACCTTGTGCCTGTCCTGTGATGTAACCCAATGATTGGGAAGACTACTAATAAAAGCAGAAAAATCAAGAAAATTTGCCCCTACTCGATAAGTCTGGTTAACCCGGCAGTTGCTGGGGTATTTCGCCACCCACCGTTTGCTGGGGGGGGGGGGCGTTAAACGCCCCCAGCCGATAACTCGAGAACCAATAGGCGCAGCGAAACGCACGAGGCGGCAAACGAAAGAACGCGACGAGACGCTTCAGATGAGTACTTAAAAATTGAATTTTGAGGTCACAGGTCGGGTCAAGGTCAGGTCAAACACCTGAAATCGGGCTTTCAGTAGCATGGACTTCAGGACTTCGCAATGGGCGCCTCTCGTCATAAACTCTGTCAAAACGGTGCACAATCCATCATATAAGGCCTACAAGAGTGTCAGCTCCATGTAGGGGTCAGTCAAGCATAGGTCAGGGTCAAGGTCAGGTCAACCGGGTAGGCACATATCCCCGAAAATCAAAACTGATATTCGCAGCCTGTGACACATGTTTTATAGGTAATTTGGGGCGTAGAACACGATGGTGACATTCATTTTATCATATGTGTACGTGTTTGGCTCAAAAAGTTCAATTTAAGAAATGCATGTATCATGGTCGTGAAGCAATCACGAGAAATTGCCAAGATTCAGTTCAAGATTATGGAAAATGCGGGACGATAATCAATAATCGAAGATAGCCATTTGATTGATAATGGTATTGGCAGTCTAATGGCGTTTACGGCATGTCTGTATGTCTATTCTGTGATTTTATATGATTTTTTGAACATATGCCGTTTTTGGTCGAAAACTCAGAAATCATGACGTCACTAAAACCTCGATATCTCAAAAATTTTCCGACCGATTTTTTTGAAACTTTGTCACAACAGACTTCAATCAATTCCCTACAGGTACCCCAAATTTGGCGCGCCTGCGGCGCGCCGTTTTTATGCTATGGCCCGGCGAAAAAAGTGGGGGCGTTTAACGCCCCCCCCCCCCAGCAACTCGCGGGTTAAAGGGACCCTCCCACCTTCAAAAAAGTTTATGAATTGGCATGAAAGTGATGTCGCTCGGTTCAGAAAGAGCGAAAACGAATATCTACCAAATTTCATCGAAAAATATTCACCGGTTTTCAAGATATTAGACTTTTACTTTTGTTTACTTTTTGGGATCTCCGCTGTTCCTAGCGACTTTATTTAAAAGTGCGGCATTTGTTGCGCGCAACGAAGCATATACCACCGCGTGCTACAAAACGTTTTAGTCAAACATTTACGGACGTTCGAAAGCCTGATGACGTCATCAGATTCCCGTAATGGTTAAGAGATAGGGACCACGCTGGTCCCACCCTGCAAGTAAAGGGAAGAAATTTCTTGAACACCATAAAGCTGCGGGGGTTGCAACCAGGATA